GTCAGGCTGGTCTTAGCTGCTCAGCCAGGGAGACCAGCTGAACAACCAGCTAAAACCAGCTAAACACAGCGTGGTCAGTTTGGAAGACCACTGTGATCAGCTTAAACCAGCTCTGAGCATGATGGAAGACCAGCTAAAACCAGACAACCAGCTTAAGATTCAGCAGAGTTTTTACAACACACTCAAAGCATATAAGAGTGCAAAAGTGACAACTTTTAGCAACAGCGGAATTCATTTTAATCTGTTAAGTGTAACAAAAATAATTTCTTCATTTGTAAAGGACATGATGACACATAAAATGGCAATGAAATAATTTTGAATAATTTGAATTTTATTTTGAATGCGGGCCATGTATAAGGTATGTTAACTACATCACAGGCCTACGAAGCAGGTAAAGGAAGAGCACCTCAACCCCTGTTTTGTAAAACAGAATGAGTAGATACTAGATACACATTTTACAGATCTTTATGTTTCTGTCCTGTGTCGCAGAGTGTAGCACCCTCTCTGTGTTAGAGCCGGTACTGCGACTCTCTGTCCACAAGGCACAAGCATCATTACCATGTACACCAATGTATTAAATGCATCAGATCAGAATGTATACAAATGTTTTTTTTCTAGAAAATGATTTTTATTAAAAATATAAATATTGATATTATTGGTTATTTAATATTTTGCGCATTTAACATGCGCATAATTCAAAACTGTTACTGACTGACATTCATCATGAGTTTACAGTACAATACAATCTGCAGTGTGTACTAATACTTGTCACATCTGAAACCCTACAATAAACATCTTGTGATGTACTTTTGGCATTTATACTGATATGATACTGTATTATGACACATTTTGTTTTAGACTACATAACACAGCATTGTAGTCACAAATTGAGTTTTGATCAGGACCAGAATGGTTTTTGTCTTTGGATCATACACAATAAGCGTTCATCTCAAATAAAGCATATTAATTTGGGGAAGGGAGGAAGTCCAGTTCAAGAGATAGTCAGCAGCACTAATAAAGTCTGAGGGAGGATGGTCAGCAGACTATAATAATATTGTCTCCTGGATATTATCTAGATTGTCTATGCAGGCCAGAGTTGCTAGATGGATCATCCGTTTACGTCTGTACGAGCTGGCACACTCGTATCAGCCTTTCGTAATGAGATTCAGCTTCTCACAGAGGGGCAGCCACAGCAGGATGTGCACCAGGCTGGTGATCACCACGAATACTGTTAAGATGGGTTTCTATGTAGGCCGGGTCTCCTGAGGACAGGACTTCTCATTCAGACAATGAAAATGAACAGCACTGACAACTAAAGGTGACCTGACCCTCCAGAAAAGTATGTCATTTTTTTGTGGACCAAGAACCCTGTTGTGGATTATTGTGAATGAAAGTTCTGTTTAAACTTGTTTAATCATTGGTCCGCAATGATCAAACTCGGGCACTTATTCATTATAACTTGATTATTACTACTGTATATGTATATGCATTGTCATTTTTATTAGACGGGATGAAATGTTTTTACAATAAAACAAAACAAATAATACCCACATAACATAATTTGTTACAACATTTGTTAGTTGTTCAGGCACTTATTATAACTTGATTATTACTATAACTATAGAAAGCTATTGCTTTGTACGTGTGTGTGTGTGTGTTTGTGTGTTCTGTATTTTTTAAAGACAGGATGCACTGTTTTGGAGTGAAACAAAACTGTTAGAAAATAAACGACATTAATTAATGAGGTAAAATTTATGAAAAATGTTAGTCTTAATACATTTTTCATTTGAGAAAAAAGCATTAATGTGAGTGTATTATTTTATCCAATACAATTAAAGACTAAACTGTACATTATATAGTAAAATATATAGTAAGGAAGATTTTATTGTTTAGTCTGTCATGATGAATGTTTTTGTTTTTCAGACCTTGAAACCTCAGATTGGTTGTGCTGGTTG